AGGAGCAAAGATGGGCAGAGGATCGCCAGTTTGCCCCCAAGTGCGGGCAAAAATCATTGAAATGATGAAGAAAAACGTTTCTCAAAGAAAGATAGGAATAGATTTGGGCATTCCTCCCTCTACAGTGCATAACATAGTGAAAAGCATCAGGGAATCTGGAGAAATTACCGTGCGCAAAGGCCAAGGGCGCAAGCCTAAACTGAATGGCCGTGATCTCTGAGCCCTCAGACGGCACTGCATTAAAAACCGTCATTCATCAATAAATGATATAACTGCGTGGGCTCAGGACTACTTCGGGAAGTCACTCTCAAGCGCTACAGTACGTAGTTACATTAGGAAATGCCAGCTAAAACTGTACTGTGCCAAAAGGAAGCCCTACATAAATAGTGTCCAGAAGTGCCGTCGCCTTCTCTGGGCTCGGAGGCATCTGGGATGGTCCATTGTGCAGTGGAAACGTGTATTGTGGTCAGACGAATCGGTTTTTCACATCTTTTTTGGAAGAAATGGATGCCATGTGCTGCGGACCAAAGAGGAAAAGGACCATTCAGAATGGATATTTATTTACAAATCAAATGATGTTGACAAAAAATAAAACATGAATTATCTTGTGTTAATACTGTCTGCAATGAAATAAAGGTTAAGGGAAATTTGTAAATTACTGCTTTATTTTTTTATTCACATTTTCCACACTGTCTCAACTTTTTCTGATTTGGGGTTGTAATAATAATAATAAATTTGTCTTTCCTGATTAGAAAGATGACCAGGAGAACAAAATGTCCACCGATTTCTCCGGTCATTAGCTGTTACTACACTGTATAGTCCATTGTGTGTAATGGTGCTCACGCAAAATTTCTAATTCCCCCCTAACCTGAGCAGTCTAGATCCAGGCCTGCCTGTTACTAATTTTAGCCCAACACCTCCATGGTCAGTCTGGCTACTCCTAGTGAGACCAGATAAGGGGAATATGATGCGATTGCACAATAAATGGCAGCAAAATTACTTGAAAGAGGTAGATAAAGTGCATGGGTGGGGCTTGACATCTGGTGTCTACCAAAGATGGCAAAAGGTATGAGGTGATGGTCAAAATTACATTAGACTTGTTTAGAGGGAATCTTGTAAGCCACAGGTGCTGATCAAGATTCCATGACGCAGCAGACATACAGCAGACATACAAAAATAAACACTACAGCATAAGCTTCCCTGAATGCCCTTAGTGTTGCACTTTATCTGCAGATTAGAATAACTGTCTTATTAAGTTCTTATATATTTAAAGATATGTACCTACGTAAGGAGCATGTGCTGGCAGTGCGTTGCTGCACCCACCACATGACAAACCACCTCAGGGATGAGAACACGAGTGCAGCCATGTGGCAGGTGATACCTCAGCACCACACTAGTCTGAATGGAGCAGTGTGTTTTTTCCAGTGGCTGGAGTGCCAATCCTGTCACCAACCCCCAAATTTCCCTGTAAGTTGGACGACCTGCTTGCAGGGTTGGATGTAGATTAATGTCAAATCCAGGACAAAGCAATTACAGGTTAAGGGCCTTGCTCAGGGGCTAAACGGAGTAGGATCACTCTTGGCATTCACAGGATTCAAACCAGTGCTCTTCCAATGGCTGGCACAGATTCCTAGCCTCAGACCGTATGTTTCTACTGTGCTATTTGCCTCAATTGTACGTCGTTTTCGACAAAAGTTATGTACTGCTTTGTGATCACCGTGTTTCACTCGGAGGATTACTACTGTCGCAGTGTGCTTACACTGCATTGCATGTAGCAGGTTTGATTTGATGGTGCAATGGAGGAAGACAGGGAAAATAGCGAGGAAAGTCAGAGAAAAAGACAAAAAATGTCTAAAGTTTGAGACCATTTCAAACAAAAGAAAAGTGAAAATACTGTACAGTGTGTCCATTGTAAAACTGAATTAGCTTACCACAATAGCACAAAGTCAATGATTCAACATCTAAACAGAAAGCACCCAGTCTATGCATCCAGTCCACAGAGCGGAACCAATATAAGGTAAGCGCGAGCGTTTCACTCACATTTGCGGCTAAAAATAGACCTGTGATAGAAACGTATTTATGGGCATATGTGTGAATAAAAAAAGTATAACAAGATTCAGCCCAAGCAGCCCCTATTTTTCCTCAACAAAAAACACTGATAATACAACAGCAGTGAAAATAATGCTGTTGTAGTTTAATTAACATGGAGCTGGAGCCTGTCTATACACTAAGAGAAAAGAGATGGTGAACTCAACAGCAGTGCTTGTAATTGCTACTAAACCTTTACTGGTAAAGAGCTGGTGAGAGTCCTTAATCAAACCAGCTGTTCAACAAGCTGAAAGGTGAAGAAAAGCAATGCTTTCAGCTGCTCCCATCCACCGCCGTTTGTCTTCCACAGCAGCAAGGCTACAGTAAAGCTATACAAGTTAAAATAGAAGCTGTTTGCATGCAGATAAACTGTTAGCTTAGTTTGACACAATATTTAAATTTGGCAACTTGCAGCAGGCTGACAGCAGCCGTCACACTTTGTCACAGTGATACCTGCAGCATGTCTAAAGGGGAGCATGGAGTGTACTCAACTAGATCTATTTCAAGGCTTTAGTAATATTTTGCAGATTTAGATTAATATGAATAATATTACATAATTATAATAATATAAACAAAATAATATAAATATTTTATAAAAATTACCCACCCCACCCTCTCCTCCAACAGCCTTGGGCCAGTAAAACTCTGAGACACTGAATTATTATTATTTCCTCTCTTTTTCAGTAAATCACAGTGTCTTATGGACAGCTTTGTTCGGGCAGTTGCACTGTGTTCAGTTCAGCAAGCTGCTGAGTTGACCAACAGCATTTTGAACATGATTGTCACAGACATGCGCCCTCTGTCTATGGTGGAAAACAAATGCAGCGCGATATCCAACCCAGGTAAAGCTAACAAAGTGCTTTCTGTGTGTTCCGGTAACATCTACACCATCAGAACATCTATTTTCTGCAGCAGGAAACATTGCGTCAAAGCGGAGAGCAAGCCTCAGTTCTGAGCATGTTGATACTGTATGCTCACTTTTCTTCATTGCAACCGCCACTTGCTCCTTTAAAGGCTTACACACACACTCATTCTGTAACACACTTAAACACACACACTCACTTACATTCACTTACACACAGGAGATACAATCCTGTCAGAACTTTTTTTATGCCTCCTATTAATGTACAAAAATACAGAGAGTAAAGGCCATTTTAATTTATGCCTTAGTTTAAGATATATGTATACCTTTTTCAGTAATTTTATGACATTATTTGAATTATTTTTGCATTTAAGAAAGTATTTCTTTTAAAAAACAAAACCAAACAAATATGTACATAAATGCACTAGAAGGGTTTAGTTCTTTTGTCAGTTGTTGTAAGTTCAATCATTAAAAATGTTCCTAAAAAGGAAACCCATGAGTTCATTCATTTTTAGAGACCTGACTATTTTTTCTTTTTTGAATAGTTTCTGTTGCTCTTTAATAAGACAGAAGTATTTCTTATCTGATTACTCGATTAATTGATGGAATAATCGATAGAATACTCGATTAATAAAATAATCGATAGCTGCTGCCCTAATCGATACATTATAGCCAAACCAAAGTTGCATTTATAAGGTGCAAATGTAACATCAAATGCCGCTGCTGATCTCAATCTATTTCTATGCTGTTCTGTATAGTTTTCTGGGCAAAACCACAGAAATACCAAAGCACTCTAATTTCATCAACTGCTCATTTAACCAATAATATCCCACACACTCTGAGCTTCTGCTATTTACATAGGGTGAAGCCAGCAAAAGTGGGACATCAGCTAAAATGGAACAAATAAGGTTTTGCGGCTTCTGCTCTTTAAATAATGAATACAATGGTATTATATTTACATATCAGCAAGTGATTGGTCAACTTTGAATTTTGTGGGTATGGTTGTATCTGAACTGCAAGATGATCTGAAGACGCACATGGTGATTCCCTGTACAAACTGCTTGGGGTTTAAATGTAATGGGGTGCGACACCAATACAATCTGATCAACAATATACCATTCCATTTTCAAATGTTGTCTAATAATAACTAAATTTTAATCTATTACTCTTCAGATTTATTTTTTCTTAAAACTGCATTTTTTTAACTGTCCCATTTTACCTGACCATGGTAGATAAACGGGGACAGTAGCATTCAGCAAAATAGGGACACCATTTAAAACGAATAAAACTATAAATGATGCAGAATTTGTCATTTTTTCCAGAAAATGGTACAGGTTTGTAGGCAGAAGACAGGGAGAGGACATGCATAGGGCTAAGCGAAGTGGAAGACAAAGGTACAACCAATGGAGTGATGAAAGAATGAAATGTACAATAAATAAATATAGGGAAAGAGTGGGAGCAGACCAGGAACCAACGCTTTGGCGAGGGTGTGGTGTGTTCCAATGCCCAGCCTTCAAAAAAAGGGTGGACTTTTGTTATGCCTTTGGTAGGAAGCCATTTCTATCCGAATCATTTAAAAGAGAATTAACTGTGATGTTGAAGCTACTGTCACAGAGAGGTGTCCCACTGACTGAACAGGCCAACAAGAAACACAGAGTAGAGTTCATAGCTACTTACGTTGGTTTTAAGGTGCATAGCCTACAAGTACACACATCCACAGACACACACTTTTAAATTTCACTAATACTTTGGCTGCTTTTTATATTTAAAATTTGTTAAGATTTTTGGTTTATGGCTTGAGGAAATAATAATAAACATGACTAAATTATTACTGGAGTATAAACCAGGCCAAATAATTAAAATGGCATGTCCCACTTTACCAACCATACTGTCCCTATTTACCTGAAAGAGCCTCTTGAGAAAGAAACTTGTACTCATCTTGTTGGAATGTCTGAATCTTTTTATTAAAACCTATATTGGCTCTATTAACAGTGGTTAAGGACAGCAGAGACCGGTTCAATCTTATTAAACAGCACTACTGTATGTGGATATATGTTTTTAGATACACTTTTAACATTTATCAAAAAGTGTCCCATTTTCGCTGACTTCATCCTATTATAACGAAAGTTTAATGATGATCAGTGTATTAATTATTTAAAAGAAATTTTCGTGTTGCTGAATATTCATAAGTCAACAGGCGAGCCAGCGCATTTGATGGGGGCGGGAACATCGGTGTTTAAAAATGACCATTAATTTTTAGAAATCACAAAATATGACTAATATTACAACTACACGAATCCCATTGCATCTGTACTTCCAAGAATTGCAAAACAAGCCGGTTACGCCATCTCCCTCAGATGGACCGGAGCAGTAACTTCGCACAGTTTTTACCAGTTTGCTTTATAAATTAAATGAGAAATAAAATCACGTTTACTTACTCTGCCCTTCGAATTTGCGTATAATGGTGTCCAGGTAGGTGTTCTGGAGCGCTACATGACCCCGTCTCACTGGCATCTTGGAGCAAAAGAAAGATTGCGCCTATCCCGCGCATCAAACTGCACACTATTCCTTGCTTATTTGAACAAAAGAATTCGAATAAACAAAAATTAAATGCATATTACGACACAAATAACCATTAGGCACGTGCCGGCCGGTGAGGCAACGTCCTCACTCTAGATTGAGGAGGATGTGAGTAAATGCGGCTGGGCATCCAGGAGCGGAGACTCGAGCCGGTGCACGGACAAGACAACTTGGAGACTTTGAAACAAAATGCGGAAATCAAACACGTGCGTGTCTGGGTGCAGATGCAGGAAACGCTGTTAGATGCGAAGAAGAAACGGCGCCCTCAAAAACAAACAAAAAACACTTATTAAAAAATTAAAAAGTCAAGGGGAGACTTGGAGCGTGGATAGGTCATCAAGGAGGAAGCGGTGACGATCAGAACCTCCGCCTCTCCTCTCCAGCTTGCCGCGGGGGCCACAGGGGGAAGCCGCTAGCTGACACCGGTGACAGAAAGCAGAGAGTCGCCTCGAGAACGTCGCGCCCGAGAACGCGCATCTAGAAATAGACCCTCGTCGCGGCTCAGGCTCCTATTTTTTCGTCTTTTTTCGGTTGGCTTGTGTCTACGACTATTGCTTGGGAGGGCTTGCTGTATGATTTATATTTTAACTGCGCATAATTTCTTCCGCCTCTCTATTACGGTAGTAAAATTTTAAGTAAATCACTTAATTAAATGATACAAGCTTTCTTGAGTTATGGAAATAAGTCATGACAATTTCGCCCTCAGCTCCACCTACTGGCGCTTGTAAACCTGCCAAATAATCATAGTCTTAAGTATTTGTTTTTAATTTTGCCACAAACTGCAAGTCTTCAATGTCTGAAACAGTTCATTCTTGTTTCCTTTCTTCGCGGCTGTTTGGTTACTTTATACATTTTATTATTTCATATGGTAAGCAGTTAAAGTTTAAAACCTACATGGAAGCGAACTGTCCCTTTTATATTCGTCTGCTGAAAAAAAGCAAATGAGGAGTGCATGATAAGCACATGGAACACAAGGTACAACTTGAGAGTTTGAAAACGTACAGTAGATAAGGCATTTTTGAAAATGAGAACAGCCGGGAGTTCAGCACCTTGCATTGTTGTTTTGACAACTTCTCTTTCAAGCTGGATGGCCTCTTGACATCTTTGCCCTTTGCTGGCTGCATGTTTAGAGTGCGGGTGTGCAGGCAGCTCCTCTGCAGAGCCCGTCCTTCACCCTTCACTCTCCTCATCCCTGCACCTTCTTTGGGCTGCTGCAGGCAGAGCCTGGCAGACTGAGGCTACAGGGAAGAAGGTGAGATGTGCAGTGCTGTCCTCGCCCCACCATTCCGGCTTGGCTTTGGCATCCACATCTCCAGCTGTCTGCCGGGCCTGAATGATGGAGCCCATCGATGCACACATGTGGACACACTCATCATACCTCACTGTGGACGAAGGCCACGCCATGGGGAAGTAGTAATGACAGTGGTAGATAATGCCAGTCCATACCACCCCACCTGGAAGGAGGTTATGCAAACCACAGCTGAACTGAGCTGAAACTAGTTGTTTAACCATCCAAGACAGACAGTTTAAGGTCCAGGGAAGTTTTCACGTGTTTTGAAATTTTGTCACTTTTATTAATAATAAGCTCTATATCCAAAATTAATTTCCTTACAACAGTGTCATAATTATCTGTTGGCTTCAGAGCACATGGAAAAAGTATAGCAATATAAATTTTATATAGTTATATTAATTCATTATAGTACAATAACAATATACTTGGAAGCTTTGAATATCACAGTTATTTCCACTCCTAGTATAATACCTTGGTTGTGATAATAAAGTGTGTGGATTTCAAATGCAATGAGATTCAAACATATTTTAACCTGTTAGCCTTCAAAGTGAAAGAGCTTCCAAAAAGCCTGAGGGATAAACAGACAATGGGCATGACACGGGATAAAAGCTGCAGAGTCAAAGCCACGTGTCTCCTGATGCGCCCATATCTGTGACATGCTTCTTCTATATTCACCTCCCAGCAAAATCTGCCTTCCTTCTGTTTTGTCGGTCCGTCTGCTGTAGGGTCCCCCAGCCGGGGCTTCGCAGGGCCCCACTCTTCAGACAAACGGAGGATCCTGCTAAAGGGTCCTTTTAGGTCGTACTTCCAGCACATCCTCTAATAGCATTCACTTAGGTTAGAGAGTGCTGGAATCAACACAACTCAGACACTCTGGCCTAGAGGAAACCCGTAGGTATATACATAGAGGTCTCATAACGGTATTACACACACACAGCAGCTCAGCCGGGTGGTGAGGAAGATATCAGAATGGTATGCTGGAACACACTGATCATGCTGGATCACACTGGTCATGCTGGATCACGCTTTAGTAAGACACTGTGAGGGAGGTGTGGCAGATCTTGCATTGGACACTTACCTGCCCGACTTCAGATGCCTGTTCTGCAGGTCCATCACCTCACAACAAGCTGCCCTGCCAACAGGAAAGGGTCTATTTAAAATTATTGCAAGTATACGCCCGTAGTGATGTAGTGGGTGAGGAGGCCAGTGTAAGGGATCCTTTGTTTCTTCATGTTTTTGTGAGAAACATCCACGGGGGAAGTTAAGAAATGATCTGAGGGTATGAATTTGAATGGCCAAAAGAGAGGTGCTGAAGCTCTTCTGAGAGCCATGTGCAGGGGTGCAGAGAGGCAGCAGAATCTTATAGAGTCATAGGGGTCAGAATCTGCTGCCCTCTGCCACAACCTCTGTGCTACCAAGCTGGTAGGACATTGCAGGAAGGTTCGGTTAAAGGGCTTTGAGCCTGTTGTGTGGTTTAAAGCTTCTAACTTGATCTTATTTGTGGAAATATAGCCTTTGAGAGTGAATGAGATTAGTGGGTCAGTAGTGTCTTGGAATGGACTCATGGATGTGAGTATTTGTTTTGCTCATTTACCTCATGCTTTATGGTAGCTATGTCATGTGATTAATGTCGCTATGGGGGATATAGTCACCAGCTCATCAGCACGGAAGGATGAATTTTGTTTTACTTTAGTGGTCCTGGATGCACATTCTACGGTGCCACACTCCCTTACTCAGCGATTTTTGGTATTTTGATTTTTGGGCAAGTCGCTACATGCCCGCTGTGCTTTTTCATGAACATACGGTCAGTTGCTCTTGGTTTGTGGACTATTGACACCAAACTTGTTGCCATTAATAACACCAACAGGTGAAACATACAGATAAATAAATGAGGCAGGTACAGTCTCTAATAGCCTGATGCCCCTTTATGTTCCCCGAATGTGCTTATGTTGCTATTTTGTTGCACTTCTGGTCCTTGAATAGTCTTATTAGGTTTGTGCTTTGTTAGAAGTTGTTGTGTAACTCTTGCTCCAATACCGCTTACACTGTACCTGCGTATTCATAGGATGCCTACTGGACTCCATGGCAGCTTGTCTGTTTGCAATGTGCTATTGATTCATTTGTATGTCAATAAAAATATAAATAAACATAATAATGTTTTAATAAATTTGGCAGTAGGTTTCAAACTGCTGTTATTATATCAAGCATCAGAATATATTTCACATTGACTTGAGCTTAAAACTCAGCATAAGTGTAATTTTGTAGCGCTGGGGGTGTCCGTCGGGCAATGAGGCGGCACTGGACTGATGCCAGGTGTAAATAATGCAAAAAGTGGTGTATCATGTATTATGCTGTTATTGTGTGTACAGTAATGTCATGTGTAGTATTTAACATTACCTGTTGTAAATAATGTGTATGCATGTGCCCACCGTGTAGTAGTCAGGGTGGTCAACCTGGTGGGCAGTGTATGTCAGTTGGCATGCATCAATTAAGCCATTTTGTGCTTTTCCAGCGCTTGTCTGCCTCATCATCCGTCGTGCTTTCACTCTATAAGTGAAATTAGACACATTTTACTCCCAGACGGTTAATAATAATAATAATAATAATAATAATAATAATAATAATAATAATAATAATAATATTTACCTTGGAAGTGTTGGAAAACAGCTCCCAGTGAATCACTAGAGCCAAAGGAACAATTCAGCAGCACTGTGGACACCTACACAGTACCAGAGATGACAAATAAGCATGAAAAGGGTGTGTTTGTATCTGGTATTTTTTTAGACACAAATGATAAACATATTGACCGTCAAAAAAACAGGGATCATTCCAAAACATGACAGACACTGTAAAGCCACTGAGCCGTGACGTTGGAGTGTCCAATCCTGAGGGGTCAGGCTTCCTAGGAGGAATCTCCGTATGTGCAAGACTGGGTTCTGAGCTCAGTCCCTAAAGGTCACATATTCATGGAGGAGTCAAGCATAATGTGGGCTGTGTTCTCTCCTGTCAGACACAGACTTTGGTGCTATATTTATCTGGCCTGACCTGCATGCCTTCCCCCAGATTCAACAAAAGGTTCGGGGTGAGCAGGAATGTGAGATGAAGAGGGCAGGACCCTCAGAGGCCGAGGGAAGGGCAGCCGGCCAGGCCAAATCAACGCCACACTCGTACCTTATCAGTCTACTGATTCCTCCTCTTAGACATTCCAACAGTCAGAAAAGAGACTGAAACTATAATAATTATCTTCTGATAATTAATCTGCATTGTAAAGTGCAATAGAGATTCTATGCCTTGAAAATAGTGGTGGTTATGCACCATACCCAGACTTCCAATTCATGACAAATCATCTTATTCTATTTGTCGATGACACTGTTAACTAATCGTACAGTTCCAACTGATTTTTTTTTTTTTTTTTGCCAAGGTTCACTGACAAATTATCTTCTCACTTTGTCAGTTAGCTCGCTGTCAGATGGTCAGTATCACCACCTTTAATGAAATACATAATTTGATGGATGGAGTCGTGTTGTTGTATTTCATATAAAACATTTGGTGTGGGTGGGAAAATCCTTGGTGGTTTGGTAAATAGAACCATGTGACCAGGAGAGACTGGATTAGACAAGAACAATGTAAATACAAAACATGTAAAGAACAGGCAAAAGGTATCAATGCACACAACTTCTATCTGACCTGGACGCCACCCTCCCCCTCATTCTCTCATGTTATCCAAAGTCAGAAGGTCTAGGGATCCATCATGCAGTACCCACATGTCAGTGCTCTGTTACACTCCATTCTTTCCCATTTGGGGCTTTGTGGACTTGATGATTAATTTCCTTTGAGCTTATTTAATGTGACTGGAGTCCACTGAGACATGACCATGCCCCCCTCCCACCAGGTTCTACGTAATTAGAATGGTAATCATGACCTGCACTGTCACCAGCAAACTGACAATGGCCAATTACCGACATCCCATCACATCCTGTCAGCAGGCAGCGCTAATTTTATCTACAGCCATGGCAGAGAGAGTGAGGCAGAGAGAAAGGAGAAAGAGAACATGGTCATTTAATGGATTTCCCTCAAGGTTCTCCTTGACCACATTATTTTCTTAGTCCTCCTCCTTCCTCCTAATCCCACCCAAGTCTGAGTCCCTCACTGTTGGACAGCCTGGGACACAGTGAACCTGAACATCTGCCTTCCAGCCTTGTCCCAGCCCTTTGAAGTACTTTATCAGCACTGGATGTTTTCCTGGCTCGATGCACATGTTACCAGCGACAGCCTCCACAAAGGACCCTAAGGTGTCACATTCCACAGATTACAGTACACAGGGTTCATGCATTCACTGATCGACCATTAAACCCAAGAAACCACTAAATATATCCAAAAGGAAGCGGTTTAGCCAAACAGAAGTACAGACAGTACACTACCATCAATAAATCAACACTTGGGAAAATTGGACATTTTATTTTAACAGTCCATACATAAAGAAGTTTTACTTCCATCAGGAAAAAGATCAGTGTTAGTGGGAGACAATGGGAGAATAGTATGAGCAAAGACTTTATAAAGATCAATAATATTTCTTCCTGGTGGTAAATAATGCTAGAGGAACACCATTGCCAGAGTAGTTGATCTACAACTATGCTTAGGAGGGTGGTATTTGTCAAAGTAACATCTAGAGGAATGCCAGGACCCAAGGTTTCCCAGCAGAACATTGCCCAGAGCAT